ACACACATCTATGTTACATGCACTGATAGCCCTATAATTTTTAGATTGCCGGGGACAGGGATGTTCTGTATCAGTTAGGGAAATGTTGAAGATCAGTTTAGAAATAGATTTGCAGATTAAGCACAGTAGCACAGAATTCTCTGCATAACAATATGGTTGCCAAATGTGTGTGTGTGTGATTCTGTATACAGATACACACAAACACATATCCTGGATCTCTGAAGCTGGGAACTTGTGTCTTATTAATAGCTCATTTTATCTTACATAGGGCTAAAAAGTATACATTTATCTTTGCATTTCCTTCCTGTTGTTAGAAATAACTCCAGTCATCTCATGATTGTTGCCCTGTGTGTGCATATTTGTGTGTGCATATGTATGTGTGTTTCAGCTGAAATACATCTGGAAAATTTTGAATCTCCTTCACTTGAAAGCCTGAAGAATGAATTCAAGTTACAGAATGTTCATATCTAAGATCAGAGTTTACAGATCCTGCAACTGATGTGTGAAAATTGGGATGATGGAAAATTTTGACACTGAGACACTCTGCTTTGAGGGTACAGAGGAGATTATGAACATACCAAAACAAAATCAAAATGGCTTTCACATTTTTCATAAAAAGAGGCAGCTTGTATGGGATTCATTCAAAAGAACAAAAAAGAGTGAATGCAGGATAGCACTTATCATATGTGAAGTTGCCATACTGTATTTTTGACAGCATTGTAAGCTGATTGTAAAGAAATTTTATCATCCTGCACCATATTAGAAAGTTGGAAAATAATGGAATAACTATATTTTTATCTTCTCCGTTGGGCCATGTAAGATAACTGGTTTATCAAGTGATTACATGTATGCCATGGTTTCTTACCCATTGGTAAATAATTTTTATGTTTTACTAAAAAAAAAGCCTGTGCAACTCTACACTTTAGATGTTTGGTGTAGCTTGGACATAATATATAAAGAACAATGAGATTCCATTTGATGTCAGTCTCTGTGTGTGCATAATGAAAGAGGGGATGGGGAATATGTATTGTTGCATTGGGACATACATTACCAGCTGTGCAGATATTGAGGTCTTGTTAACTATGTCCTAATTTTAAAATTAATAAAGTTTAATACAAATATGTACCTTTCTATGTTTTTTTGGTACCTTGAAGCAAATTTATTCCAGAGCTTTAGTTTTGGAATGAAAGTGCTCTTTGTTGGAAAAATCTTTACAGACTTCACCAGTTTTCCTGCCTCATAATGTTTTCCTTACAAATTACAGCTTTACCAATTCCTTGTCTGATGTTTTCAAATTGGTTTAAAAGATCCCTTCGCCTCTCATCAACTAGACTGTATCCCCATTTGCACTCCCATTTATACAATCTGCAGAAAACCCTGGCTTTTATGTGTAACAAAATATGATGCTATTAAAATTCTGCTATTTAAATATTTCTCTATCCCCATATATTCTTTCAATGAATGTTCCTACTAATGGAATATCACCCTGTAAAACATTTATCCATCTATTTCTGCAACACAGGTTCTCCACAGTGCACCCTTTTGTACCTTAGTAAATCATCCATTCCTTAAATATTCAGATTATTATTTCACTGATCGACCCATCATAATTCAATATCATTCCTCAGTGGAATCATACAAGACAAATGGTCATAGGTGTATTTATTCTTCCATTCCTCCTACCAGTCTTTTTAAAGAATACCACTTTCATTATAAACAAAAACACCCACCCACCCACCCAAAAAAGAAAACTCTTCTATTTTAACAGAGCGTTCGATAAAGATGATCATCCCTTTCTTTCTTTATTCTATGCTACAAATGGCAACAGGAATGGGGGTTATTGATATCATACCCAAACGTCTGTTTCCCTCAGAATCTATAAAAAATGGAATATATGGTACCAAGGTGGAAGCCATGATCACAGAGAAAATGTTTGTATCATGGCAAGAATGGAAGCTAGATAATCAGAATGTTCACACTGCCCACCACCAAGAGGCAGAATGTGGAGATGCCATGCAAAACCAGTCAGTTTCCAGTCTTGATGTTCTTGAGATAATACAGATGCTGCCCAAGCATTTGACAGGCACTTAAAGAACACTTGTGGCCAAAGTGTAGAAGGATCTTGTCACCTGCTGGGTGCACCCCTGCCACACCCTGGAGCAGGCTCAGGATTCTAATTTTGTAATGAAGTTGTTACTGAAAAACCCAGCACTTTTGAAAAGGGCACGGCAGTTAAACACAACCAAATCCAGTAAGCCAACTCTTCCTTCCAATTTGCAAGTTAAGTGGAGCAAGCATCTGCATAACACATTGTAAGCTGGTGTGTAACCCTACAACACCCTTCCTACTTTATGCCCACTGCTTCTAAAAATCCCAAAAGCAATGGAATCTGGGCACCTTCTGCTTTAGAGAAGGAGAAAAATCTCTGAAAGAAAAAACTTCCTTGACGTCATCTCCTAATTGGGACTACTACCAGATCTAATGGAGCTGCAGTTCCTAGAATTTCCAGGCTATGCTGGCTAAGAGTTGTAGTTCTAACACATCTGGAAAGCATTAAGTCAGGCAAAGCTGCCTTAAACCTCTCGCAAAGGATATCATCTGATGGAGGCATAGATAGTGGCCATAAAACTTTTTAGAGACTAGTAAATAGAGTGAGGACTTCAAAAACTTGTAGTTTGCTTAGTTTCCAGTGTTGGAAATCACCATTTGGGAAATAGGTGCTATAAACAGTTTGCTCCCAGGCACCTTATCTATTTATTTCAGTGTTTCCCAATATTGGGGATTTCCAGGAACTTGGACGTCAACCCCCAGAATTCTCATCAATGGTCATATTGGCTGTAGAATGCTGAGAGTTGAAGTCCACACTCCTGGAAATTCCCAAGGTTGTGAAAGCCAGAATTAGTTGATAGTCCTGGACTTCCTTAGTAAAATATATAATTCACTGAACACCATACAGTATGGTGAAATGTTATTTGGATAGCTAGCCTTAAGGTCTTCAAGAAAGATACAGCTGATGTAAAATACCCAGAGTCCAGGGCTAGAGACTTTGGGGACCTAAATAAAAAAAAAATGTTCTTGTCAACACATCAGCATTCCAAAGGAACCAGCTAATAGTTCTTTTCCTGTTGAGCTTATAGAACAAGTGGACAGTATTGCAGCTACTATTTCAACATAAATCAGATTGGATATTAGCAATTGCCATCCGCATAAATCAAGCCATGCCCAGATTGCAGATAACATCTCTCCAACATTTTGGTTCCTATTGCATGTTCCCCTAGGAATTTGCCAACTTCCCTCTTTCATCACCATTTTTCCGGCTAATCATGGCTAAAACTAAGGAGAGCAATTATGAAAACTCACTTTTCTCTGTTATAAACTAAATCAAAAGTGAAACTATTGCCTTAAGGTTAATTAAGGTTTAGAGTCACTAAGGGCTCATTCAACGTGGTCAATACTGGCTGCTTACAGGCTCAAAATCAACCTGTAAGATGCCATTGGCAGGCTGAAGAATTGTCAAAACCATCTTTCCCACCAAGAAGCACACCTGATATGTTACAATGATAACATCCATTATTCTTGGCCAACACAGGTATTACTTTTAAGACTGGTGCCTTCCAGATGTATTGAACACACATGTGGAAGACACTCAGTTAAATCAGCCAGTAGAATTGGATGCTCAAGCCTAATCTTCCATTCCTCCTCTTCCTTCATCAGGGTTAAGCACTCTTCACTGCTGCTTATAATCTCCCATCTGGCCACAATGTCCTGCAGATAAAGACAGAGGCGTTTCCCCTCAAAATGTCCACAGAGTAGGTATCTCCATAGAATCGCTTGAGTGTTTTTCAGTCCAACCCATTTCATCCTCACACTGTGGTTTTTGGCACAACTGATGACTTTTCCACTCCTTGAAAGTGCTCATCATTTCAAATGTATCCCAACAGGACCCAAAAGACCTTTATTAACCTCTAAAACAAATCAGTGGGCGACTGAGAAAGTCAGAACCAGCCACTACCAATACAAGCCAACCATCTCCAACACAGAGTATGAATTAGGAATGATTTTCCCAGTCCAATGCGCTCACTGACCTGTCAAGACAATATGGAGGGAGTTCCCACAATAAATCAATGGCTATCAATTATCTGGCCCCTACAAATGAGTGATGTGACCGATTTACTGTTTTTCCTTATCACGTCAGGAATCAATGAATGGACGCTGGCTGATACACAAAACAATACTGGTGAATAGTCCCTCGGGTTCAGGCCAAGGATACCCATCCAAACAACTCTCATTACCCAAGGTCCCTGTAACTTTACAGCATTTGATTATTCCATCTTGCCAGTATAAATTCTGTCCAAGGTTAAACAGAGTGGTCTTTTTTTATGTATATAATGCTGGTTAAATGGAGATGGTCATCAGCCCTGTTCAGTTCCATTTGGCACAAAAGGACTTTTAAATTGGTAGCCATGTTCCATATTACAAGACTGCAGGTGATGAATTGCAGAAGGGCTCATGAGCAGTTGTAGGCAACTTCCTGAAGATTGGTTCCTCCCCTCCCACCCCCCAACCCTCTCAATTTGGCACAGAGGGTCCTTAGAAGGAATATATCAGAGAGTGGAAGGGAGGCTGGAAGGGGACAGGGGTTATACATTCAAAAGCCAGTGCGGAGCAGGGGCCTCAAGCACTGAGGAGATACCTTTCTCATCATATGGAGGCCTGAAACTGTTTGTACAAAAAGTTCCGCTTCTCTGCCCTCTCCAGGCAGGGATGTGTCAGTGAGCAGGAGAGCAGAAGTCCACATATGCCAGGTTGTAGTTAGCAGTAATGGCCCCATGCCGTGCACGCAGATATACATGTGCACATACACACACACATCTGTCAATCTATCCACTGCAGAAAACGGATGTGTGGTAGCTTGGTATCAGCAGGTCAACTGGATGACTGGGTGCTGTCCCTGAATGTTGAGATGACAGGGGGCGGGGTTGTCCAATTTCCATTGATTCTCAGTTCTCAGTAGCATCTGGAAGGTGGAGAGAAAAAGACACTCCTTGTTAAGGAAGAGGAGGAGGAGGAGGAGGA